GAATTTTAATTATTAAAAGAAAAATAAAAAATTAATTATGAAACTTAATTTGAATGGATGTGTCAAAAATAGATTAGTGTCTTTTCATAAAAAAAATTATAAAAAATTCAATCTCTGAAGAACTAAGATTTTAAATGAATGAAGATATGTCATATTTAACAAAAGAAGAGTCAACAACAGAAGATGGATGTGCACTGAGATACTTTAATTATTTATATGAATTGTTAGTGTCTATTTTTTTTCCACAACAACAATTAAAAAAAGTAAATAAACAATTGTCTGTATTTTTTGAAGATGAAGATAATGAGTTGGTTTCAAATAAGGTTTGTGTTGATGGGTTTTTAGGTAAATTCAATGAAACTCAATTGCAACGTTTGTTTATTTTGTATAATTTGGAAAAGAATCTAAAAGATACAAACTAAATAGATGAATTGTTAGATTATCGTTTTGGACCAGAATCAACTTTTTGTGGTAAGTCTTTCAAAGAGATATTTAAAGAGAAAGGTTTTAATAATTTAAAAATTGTTTTTGATACAGAAGATTATTATATTCATAGAGTTTGTGATTCAATCTTTTCATTTATCATTACTCTAATTTTTAAATCTTACAATAAAGTCAGAGTAACTTATTAATAGTGTCAAGTATATAATGAAAGTATTGATATGCAACATTTGTTAATTCAATTATTCATTCGTTGTGATCATACATTATTTATTTGGTCTTCTAAGTCATTTAGTAATTCAATATTTCAAGAACAATTAGTAAAAGGAAATGAATTTATCAAAAATCATTTTAAACATCCAAATCTTAATGTCACTATTGTTGAATGGCTTCGAGTACAAGACTATCGTCATTATTGTAAAAATAAAATGTTGTTACCTTCTCAATTACATACTGGTCTTGGGTTAACAAGAGAAATACATTATTGTGTTCAACACTATGCTAAACAGTCTCAACGTGATGGTATTTCTAATACTCCAGAACAATGGCATAATGCCCTTCAGTACCTTCGGTTAAATCCACCATTTAAATTTTTAAATCCTGCATATGAAGGAATATTTTTATCAATTAATGAAGCAGTAAAAAATGATATAAAAGAAAAAGGTTTTGCAGAAGTAGTTTGGGCATTGACGTCAAAATGTTTAAAACGAAAAGACAATGGAGAACGATTTGAATGGATAAAAATGGAACAAATATCACCGATGAGTCAAGAACTTAAAATGTATTTTAATTCAAATGAATATAATGCTCTTGTGAATGAAAATTATCATCCAGAAAATCTTTTTATTGATTGGGATTTATTTTATCCAGTTCATAATGATTAACTAAATTTAAGGTATATTTTAATTATAATTAAACTATAATTTATATTTTTTTTAAAATCATTTTTAGTGTTTTGAATTTTTTGGATAAAAAAAGAGAAATAACTCAATAATTTCATAACACACACTTATGAAAAAAATTGATTACAATGAAATAGAAAGATATTATAAAGAATTTCTTGAATCACCAACACAAAAATTAACAGAAGAAATGAGAAAAGAAATGTTTTCAAGTATTAAGAATGTAAACAGAGAAGAAGGAAAAGAGAAGAATAAATTTACATATATTATAACACAAACAGAAAGTTTTATAAGTGCTTCAATAAGTTATGTTGATAATATGTTTGATAAACACAGATATTTTCTTGGATTTTATAGATGTTCAGATGATCCAATTCAAGTAATGAAAGGAGTTTTACATAAATTTAAAATTCCACAAGAAAATCAATCAGTTGTAATTGTTGATCAACAAAATTTAGAAAAATATCCAACAACAAAAGATAAATCAAAAGGAGAAGTAATAATTACTTGGTATTCTATGTATCAAAATATTTTAAAACAAAAATTAAGAATTAATTTAAAACAATTAGACTTTACTGATATCACTGAAACAAATTTAAATGATAATGTAGATGATTTCTTTAATTATATTTCTTTATTAAAAAATGTTGAAGGAGATTTATTTCATGTTAGTAAATTAACTAATTGTAGTCAATTTGAAAAAAAAGCTGGAGTATTAAGAAATAATATTAGACATCAATTGTTATCAAACAATATTACTTGGATTAATAAAGCTTTGTTTTTTCATCCTGAACATCATCATTGGTTAAAAATTAATTTCCCAAAAGCTTTTGATAATATTATTAAGGAATATGATTTAGATAAAAATGAAATTGATTTATATCTTCATGACAATGACCCTTTTAAAAGTTGGACATTATGGTGGAAAGAAAAAAGAAATACATATCCTTCTTTATCAAATATTGCTAGAGAATTTATTCCAATGGAAGATTTTCTTTTGAGTAATCTCTATCTCGAAAAATATTATCAAATTCATAATCTTTATCATAAATGGTCTGTTGATGGAATCGGTTTTTGTTTATTAAAAAAACAATTCATCAAATTTAAATCTTTTCTTAATCAAAATATTCCTCTTTCAAATGAATTAAAAAGTTATTGCTCTGCTAATGTTCCTCATCCTACTCCAATACAAATTAATCTCCAAAATCAATCAATTGTTCCTAATCAAAATACAATAAAGTTATCTTCTTCTCATGAATCATATACTCCACTTTCTATATCTCATGATTTACCTAATCATCTTACTCAGTCAATTCCTCAAAAACAACAAACAAATATTTCTATCACTAAACCTACTATCCAACCTATGTCTCTTCTTCAAAATATTCAACAAACACAAATATCTCCACAAATAAATAATAATACATCTCTTCAATTATCTATTCAACAACCATTTTTAAATGAAAAAGAAAAAGGTATTACAGTATTTAAAAAACATTCTTTGAATATAGATCCAGAAACATCATTAACAGAATTACTACCAAATAATGAAATTGAAATTGATTTATCACTTTCTGAAGAAGATATTAATCCAAAATTACCAAAAACACCTGAAACAATAAAATATTCAGAAGAGAAAATAAAAAAATCATCAAAAAGAAAAGAAACAAAGAATTGTTTATATAAAGAAGTATTAGAAAAAAGATTACAAGATTTTATTGAGATATATAACAAAACATTAGATGAGATAGTATTAAAAAGAATAAAAGAAGTTAAAAAAGAAATAAAAGACACATATTCAATAATTGATTTAACAAAAGAAATAAATAAAAAAGATGAAATTATAGAAATTGATTAATTTAAAATCATTCAATTTAAAGTTTAATTTCTTCATTGAAATAAATTAAATTTTCATAAAGAATACGTTGTTCAAATTGATTAGAATAATTTTTAGCTTCAGTTTCAAAAACAGAAGAACATTGATTAATTAAAGAAGAATTATTTGGAATAGAAGAAATTAATTCAACTAAAAATTCGATGTAATGAATACCATTAAAAATATTACCAATTTTAGTTAAAATCCATTCAATAACAATTTCTTTTGAAATGATTTCAAAATAAATTAAACGTTTAATCATTATAATTGATTCTAAAGGAATATTTAAATTCATTTCATGTAATAAATTTAACCAAATAAATATTGCATCTTTTGAATTCATTAAATCTTTAATACATTGTTTATAAGTTTGAATACAACCATCAAATGAAGAAACTGTATCAGTAAAATTACTTAATATTACTTTAGCAAGTAATTCATTAGAAATATCAACATCACCAAAAGTACTAGATAATTTAGAATTAATATCACTAATTAAAGTTTTATTTTTCATTTCATCAATTAAAGTTTCAAATAAAGATCTATCGATATTATCGATATTAATTTCATTTTGACCATTAATATTAAGATATTTTCTTAAATCAGTTGAAATCATATCGCTTTCAATATCTCTTGTTCCATAAATTGTTAAATCATTAAAAAAAATTGTAAAGAAATATTTACACATTATTCCTTCTTTTATTTTATTTTCATATTTTTTCCATAATGGTTCAGTAAATCTAAAATTCATTGAAATATATTTATTTGATAAATAATGTGCAAATCTATTTATTGTTGTTATTGGTAATTCTTCTATTTCTTCAAATAATTTCATTTCAATTTGTGTTACTGGTGCAAATGTTGTTTCAATGAATAATAACATTCTACTAAATGTTGAATTTAATACTCTCCAATTTGGTACTATTCCTAATAAATATTGAACAAAAAGAATATTACTAAATAATGTAAAATCAATTTGTTGAGTTGAAATTAATTGAACATACATTAATAATAATGATGGATCATTATAAAATGTTTGAATTACATCTGTCATAAATTCAATTGTTATCATTTTACTAAAATTATTTTCCATTGTTGTTGGAATAATTTCTTCAAATGAAATATACATTGGTTTTAATTTAATATTTTCATTTAATACAATTGTATATTTTTCTGCTTCTTCATTTAATTTTTCATATTTTGAATAATCAAATAAAATTTCATTATATTTTCCTTCAATATCTTTTTTCCATTCATCTAAATATATTTTTAAGAAATCATTTGAATTAATGATTTTTTTTATTAAATATGTTTTTTCATTTTTATTTAATTGAATATATAAATTTACTTTTTCCATTATTGAATTACATAAATTTTTGTTTTTTAAAACAATACAACTTCCACAAATAACATGTGCAATCTGATCCTTATCATATGTCCTTTCATTTCCTTCAAGATTTTTTAGTAATGTTTTATAAATAGATTCTATAAATTCTTCTTCAAATATTTTCATATTATAACATTCACAAATAAATTTTATTATATTCTTAAATTCAATAACATCAGTTTCTTCTTCACTTAATATTTTTATTTCTGTTATTATTTTGTTTATTATTTTCTTTGATAATTGTTTTAATGGTTCAATTTTTGTTAATAAAAACAATAAATATGCATACATTCCTTGTTTTGTTGATAATAACTTAGAACATTCTATAAACTTTCTTGCATAATTCTCTTCTTGTTCTTCTGTTGTTATATCTGTTGGTAATTGTTTGGCATATGATCTAATACTTTCAATATTACTTTCTAATGTAATGTTTTTTATAATCCAAGCTGTTGATGCGTTTGAATCAGATGTGTATTCAAGACTATAATGACATAATCGAACCAATCGATCTTCATTTGTCATATGAACAGTTTTATATGAACTATGTTTTCTTGATGTATGTCGTTCTCTTAACATACTCCTGTAACTGATTTTTTTAGAACTTTTTTCTTTATTTTAAAGGGTTTTTTTATTATTTTCTAATGATTTTTTTCTTTCGATTTTATTTTTTTTTTAAATTTTGTTATTAAATTAATTAAAATAAATCTATTTTCTAAAAAGAATGAAATTCAATTCGCCCTCCTTGACTTTAATTTCTTTTGCAATTCAGACTCTTCTTGTGGTGCAGGTTCTGTAATACTGTTAGATTTACTACCAGTCGACCTTAGTTTAACTGCAAATGGAGAGCCATTTGGTTGTTGATCATTTTGAACTTCTGGTTTTACAGAAGTTTTAGAACCTGCACTACTTCTTAATTTAACTTGGAAAGGTAAAGTATTATTATGACTTGAATCTGATGAATTTTCTTTTGGTTTTTCAGTTGTTTTTGCTCCACTACTTGAACGTAATGGTTTAGCAGGTAAAGAAGGACTAGTAGCTGATGGAGCTGGTGATTTAGAATTATATTTTTTAGAAGGGACAGGTGGTGGAATTTCTTCTTTTTGTTCTTTCTTTTGTTTTGTTGAAGAACTAAGTTCATCTTTTTTGTCTTTATGTGAAGAGAATAATCCTTTTTTTTCCTCTTTCTTTTCTTCTTTCTTTTCTTCTTTC